TTTTTTCCGTGGATTTTTTTCCCTGGCTTTTTTTTCTGACTACCATAAATAACACTCATATTTTCAAAAAAACATTAATTTTTTAAAATTTTTATACCCATTTAAAATTGTGTAAAAGTTTTAGGTTATTTAATTACTAAYGAAAGACGTTCTAAATAATATAGTTGGACAGTTGGTATTTATTACATTATAGTATATAACGGTTAAAATACAGTTTTAAATTAGGTATAATACAAATATATACCTACCTATACCTATTCTTCATTTTTTAGGTAAATGTATACTAATATAGTAATATACTATTAATACTTCTTACTTTTTTTTGTCATTTGAACTTTGAAGACTGCAGATGCATTACATATTTTATATTATACTAATAGGCTATTAGTACCMTACTAATAGCCAATAGGTCATACACATATACAGTAGATTCACAATAACTCTAAAACCTTTAAAATAATTCGAAGTTTTTTCTTACCACTTGAAGTATTTATATTGAAATGTTATATTTGAGATGTATAACTCTCCAAAAATGTAAATCTAAGACAAATTAATTTTTATTCAGGTCTATCCTGCTAAAGAATATGAAATTAAAAAATGTATGTTCCGAATAAAGWAAAAATTTAAAAAAATTGTAAAAGTATATTTAAAATTCAAATGTTTGCAATAATGCAAATTTCAATCAAATTATATAAAAATATTATTTTTAAAATACAGTTAAAACTTCATAATAATTATTAGTGTATACACTTTAATGATTCGTTCTGTTTTATCATATAATTTAAAGTTTGTATTTGGTTTTTACTAACCTACACAATATATATATACAGGTACACAAAAAATATAATAATTATACTACCTTTTTTTTTTTCTATGGTATCTCCTCTGGCCCCCATCGTTTATTGAATAATCAATACAAATAATTTTACTACCTACCTACGTAAACAAAATAAACTCTTAATCACAAAAATCGAAGCGACTTAACCATTTGTGGATATTTATGTTTAAAGTTTAAATAATAAATATATAGTCGGGATCAATTCCTATAAAAATTCTTGACGTTTTTGACTTCGCGGGAAGCAATACCTATTATGCACCTATAACTTACCTATAAGGACGTAACTGCATATGTCTGCAGCACTATAGTAATACGACTACTCAAACCCGGTTTGTCTGTATACAAGTTATAACAGATTGAAATTAATTTTTGAATAACTTTTGTTCAAATCACTATTTTTATTTTTTTATTCATTTTTTTTGTTCATTAAGTGACCCTATTTTTAGTACTGAAAATAAAAAGAATTTAATTTAATAAAACATTGTTTGGATAAATTTAATATGGTCTATTTTTGAATCTAGTTTTAAGAATAATTTTGACGTAAAAATTAATCTAAATAAGTAATTTATTTTTAGTATTTTTTTAAAATTCAATATTATTTTTGGTTAAATCAATTTGGAACATAATACATTTTTTTTAAATATGACTTTTGAGAATTCGCTGACATGAGTATATAATATATTTCTTAAATTATTTACTGCAGAACATATAATATTAACAATTTTTGTCATACGTTTAATTATTAGTATAATTTTTTTTTTTTTTTAGTCAGGTGTTTCTTTTACACTCTGTACATATAAATACGTTATATATACATTCACCGTGTGTTCACCAATTTAGGGAACACTGATTTTCTCAGCCAGATTATGTTGGAATAAATTGAATTTTTTATACAAGCTATAGTGGTATATAATAATTTATATAAATACACATTTTCAGATAAATTTCAAATTTTTAACCTTCTCGGCATGCGAATACGCAATGCATTTTTTTTTATTATAGCAACCGGTATTTTTGATATCAAATTCGGATAGACTGAATTTTTTAAAACCATTTTGACCAATTAACCATGGCTCTAAAACCAAATTCGACTGAATGAGAGCCATTCAAATTTTAATAAATAATACATTTTTAAAATTCATTATAAAATGCATAAAACCATTTGTAATTATTTATTATTGGTTAGTTTTTGAATATTTTTACGTATTTTATATTCTAACCGGAGCGAGTAATGTATTGGTATTACAATGATGTTATTATTTATTTTTATTTTTTATTATGTAAACACTTTTTCTTCATCTAAATTTGTTCAAAAGTATCAAGTGTGACATYTTTTCTGAAAGGTAATGTTCTTAAACTGGTACTTTAAACAAGTAAATTTTCGATTTTTGAAAAGGTACTCGAAATAATAGCGGTTAAAGGAAAAAAACGTACGATTTCACGATTTTATAATATTAAATAATTACGGACGACGTTTTCTACCAGAAATATTGCTTCAAATGAAAAATGACAAGAGATCTTTTTTGTTGTATTTTGGTTTTTGACAGATAAACCGTCTGCTATTCTTAGAATCGTTTTTCGTATACAATGATATAATATTTAATATATAATATTTAATATCATGGGATTCAAATTTAATTCCATCCATTACAGTAACCCTGCACTTGTAACCTATACTGTACAGAAGAGTGACATCCACGACTTACCCGCTTTTTTATTTTATACATGTTATAAATAAGATTCACATAATATGGATATAAAATTATTTAATTAAAATTTATTACAACTATATGCGTAAAAATATTCGTATAATTGGTTTTATGCATTTCATAATGAGTTGTAAAAATTTACTATTTATTAAAAATTGAATGGCTCTCATTCAGTCGATTTTGGTTTTAGAGTCATGGTTAATTGGCCAAAATGACTTTAAAAATTCAGTCTATCCGAATTTGAAATCAAAAATACCGGTTGCTATTAAAAAAAAAAATTGCATTGCGCATTCGCGTACCGAGAAGGTTAAAAATTTGAAATTTATCTGAAAATGTGTATTTATATATTATATACCACTATAGCTTGTATAAAAAAATTAAATTTATCCCAACATAATCCGGCCGAGAAATTCCGTGTTCCCTAAATTGGTGAACACACGGTATATGATATAATATTATATACAATAAGCGTAGTTTTTAAATTAATATTCGCATGATTATTACGTCTGATCAAAATAAATTGTTCTTGATTTCTGATCATGAATATTTTAAATCAGTAAAAGAAGATCGTAGTAGTATGATCTTCTATAAACCGTTTTTTGGTTACTCCATGTCTCCATGGTATACACTTTAACGGGGGCGTATCTAGGATTTTATTTCAGGGAGGGGGGTCAAGTTAGAAAAAATCATTGCAAACAAACTAACTTTTTCGTTCCACTCTGAATAAAAAAAAAAGGTTGTCGATGATATTTCGGGATGTGGAGGGTATCATCCGGACCCCACGGAACCCCCTAGTTACGTCCCTGCAGCTTACTAATTACTATCAAGAGCACTGGTTCYCAAACTAGGGGGCGTGTACACATTGCTGGGGAGGCGCAAGTAGTTATTATGAAGTACAATTTTTATTTTAAAACTTAGAGAAAAAAATATTTGACCAGAAATCTTTATCTGTTAATCGAGTATCAATAACGGATAGCCGATAAAGACTATAAATATTTGGCCGCAGCGTGTAACTTAATCGTTTTATGTCACGTTATCTGTTTAATAATTCTTGTCTTATTCCGATTTTATAGAAAATAGAATATAGATAGTAAGATAGTTTATATGTAAAGTACACCAAAAAAGGTGATCGATTTTTTACAATATATAAGAGGGGGCGCGAGATTTTTGAAAATCTACTAAGGGGGCGTAGAGTAGAAGAGGTTGGGAACCACTGATCAAGAGAATATTGACTCCCTCTCTTACTATTAAATATTTTTATGTATATGTATAGACGTATAGTATACTCTGCACTCAATTATAATTTTAAAATTTATATTTCAGTTTTCTAATTTTTCATTTTATATTAAATTTTTTTTTAGTAGATATTTGTATACATTACTACAATGCATTTATGTTTTACCATACTACCTATTTAAAACTTCATTTAAAACCAAATTGTGTTTATATTTTTCAGATCTATCTACATGTCAACTTCTTTTCTTATTCTCGATACTGGTAAACTAAATGAAAATATATGTATTTACGTATTTATTACTAATACCTATTATGTTTGTTATTTTTTAATTTATATGTATTCAAAATATTATTTAATCGTGTAAAAATATTATTAACTATAATTAATGTTTTAATGTGCTTAGAATATAGTATTAGCTGGTGATATGATGAGGAAATCGATTGTTTACGACAAAAAAACACCTAATGTATTTTATTGTCCGTTAAATAAACCTACTGGTAACTATACATAATAATTAATAAGCATTTTTATTTTCAAATGTATATAATTAGGAATACCATTTTAGGTTTTGATAAATTGTTTGTTCATTCAAGACCATTAAAAAAATTATGTGAATTTGATGGAAAACCTTTACCCGAAGACTACAAATCCGATTGCTTTCAAGACGTCGATGAAACTGAATATGCTTGCAAAGAAAAATATAGAATCATGGTAAGAATTAAGATTAAATTATTTATAAAAATATCATTGTTTTAATATACAGTGAAATTTCCATATAATTTTAATTTCAAATTTACACAGAAGTCGCTTGGGTAACAAAAAAAAAAAAAAATATTCGTAAAATAGAGGAATTTGTTAAACAGAAAATGTCGTCAAATAGAAGTTTATTAGATGGAAGTTTTACTGTATCGTGTATAAGATCAAATGATCAAAGTATAAAATAAAATGTTTGTCGAATTGTTAAATTTTATATTCAACATTGCGAGTATAATTCATATAAATATAATATATGCATATAGATTATAGGTATATGCATATTATACTTAATAATTATTATAATTAATATGTTACTTTTTTTTTTAATAACATAATAATTATAATTTTTTATATATTTATTAGGATTTTAACATTAAAATTATTAATTAATAATATTAATAAATATTTTCTATAGGCTGGAGAACAACATTATTAACTAGGTACAATGACATATTGAAACTTAATCATTAAAATTATATTAATACATGTATATAACTTTCAGAAGAGATTGTCGAAGAAACAACTGGATAGTTTATTCGGAAATAACGACTAGAATAACTCTAACAAAATAACGCTCTGTAATGTAAGAGGTTGTATAATC